AATAAATCAATTGGAAAAACGAACGATGGCAAGAAATCACAGGACACTTAAGACGATTAACAGGATAGAATGCTGAGGAAGATTCAATTGCATCGAACAGTGGTAGGTTCTCGTTCGGTGTCTAAGCAATAGTACACCGGCCATTTAATTTAGTTAGAGATCGATAGGGTGTGGAACAGCACGTGCTGACGGCAAACAAGCTTTTCTCGACAACCCTCCTTCGCATTTACGCGGCACTTCGTATCCACGAACCCTCTTATACAGGGTGATCAACAACGCGAGCAACTATTATTAGAGAAAGAATCCAGCGAACCCTATCGTGTTATCAATATAATGCCCGAAGATCAGAATCTAAATTGGCGAGCGGAAAGTTTCTGCTGCGTCGCCGTCAACTTTGCTTCTGATTTAAAAATTCACCTCCGATGGGACACATCGAATGTAATTACGAGAAAAAGAAGGAAACGAGGGTTCGCGATAATTGAGGGTTCGAGTGTCTTTCAGGAAATCAATGGATCGTTCCATACAGACGTCTCTACGATCTTGGAATTTTAATTTTGCTTTGATTATAGTAATTGAATTTGAAGAAAATTGAAAATAAATTTGTGACTGAAAATGATAATGAAGGAATAATAAATTAAGATAATCAAAAGTTTGGATAGGTCTACTGGATTTGTATTCTATACTTAATATTTTGAATAGAGGATTTGTTTAGTTAGTAATTTTATTTTCAATAAATTTAGTGTATCATTTTTTGCATTTCTAATTGGACAAATTTTCAAGCTCTTAATAAAATTATTTTTTATTAGCTAATTCAGATTATTTTTAATATGATAGATCCTTAAATAAAATGAAAAATAAAATTTGTCAAAGTTATAAATTTTATAAAATATGAAACTATGAAAGCATTAATTATTGGAATATCGCAGAAAGAAAAAATTAAAAGGACAGAAGTGCTCATGCAAGAATAAGATTTTTATTAATCATTTTTCCGGTTAAATTTATTTGCATCTCCTCTGAGAAAAAAGCCTCTACTCGGGTAATTAAGTTCATTTATTACTTTTTTTTAATACATTTTTTTTTCTAAGTCGCTACGAAACGTTGATGTAAAGCGAAACAAGCTAGCTCCAGCGACCAATAGGAAATCGATAAGTGATTCTATAAACGTTATCAAAGGAATGGTCGATAGATTGGTGCCATTAAAATACAGTCAAAAGCAACGTGGATTCTGATGTAAAAAACACAGAAGGGTATCTTCCACGGTCAACTTTCCCTCCTGGTTGAAATTTAATTATAACAAAAAAAAAAAAAAAAAACTGGTAGGAACCCTCGGATAGGGTGCTGGCACCCTTTATCGAAATAGGAAATCGAGGATGCCACGTGGAAATAATGAAAATAGAATTGGCCCCACCCTTTTCAATTTCTTGATGCAATTTACCAACACCGTTCACTCGGAACCTTCTCCTTTTCAGATTTATTTGCCCAATTGCATATTGGTTCCTTTTTACGTAACGAACGCGTGATAAAAGAAAACACAAAATTTTACAGTTAAAATAATTATCATTATTTCTTTCATTGTATAGAATATCATAATTTCAAAATTTTATTTTTAAATATTTAAGACGTTTGTCATTTTTAATACTTCATCTACTGAAGGAATTAGATTACAAAAATTAATTCCGATTAAGAAATTAAGAAAAAATTCCCTGAGGAAGCCAGACTTGGTCGTGGTTGTACATCACAAACAGCAACAAAAACAACGTGCTCGATTCCTAAGCAGCAAACCACGACATTGGACTGGATTTTCATTAAATCTTCGTCATAACACTCACGTGTTTATCAAGCATGGTTTGAAACATGACATGTCCTATCGACAGTCCAAGTGTCACGTGCACGCACGCGTGACAGCTACGAAACAACAATACCCGCCGAAAACCTGGGACAATCAATAATTCTGCCAAAACACGCGGAGGTAATTGTGTTCGATTCTACATAGATCAATCGATATTCATCGCGTCTGAATATTTATGAAAGCATTCTGCTGTTGTAGGTACATTGTTTTCAGCGATTTAAACCTTTCGACGTACACGTGTACGTGTGTGCGTGTTCTTCTGCATTGCGTCTAGATGAGCTTGATGTATGAATGCAAGGGCGTGGGTGTCTTAAGAGCGCAGTATTATTTTGCATATCTCTGACTTTTTTCTCTTTTGTTCTGGACCTCTTTTAATCTGGACTACGCTCTTAAGGGATTTTAATTTGCGTTATATAATGACTTGGAACTGAATAAAAAATATTTCCTTGGAACAATTAAAATTAATTAGGCAATTTGTAAGACGCTGAAAATAGAAAATTAAATTATTAGAAAAATAGCAAACTGTGTAATTTATTTTTCTATTCCTATTTTACTTGAATATTGAATTGCAAAGTATTTCTATTCACTATGGAAAAATTAAATAGGAAATTAAATTATTGGAAAAATAGCAATGTAAATAATTTTCCTATTTCTATTTCGCTTGCATATTGAACTGAAAGATATTTCTATTTATTTAGAGCAAGTTAACCAGGAAATTAAATTATTAGAGAAATACCAATGCAATTAATTTTTCTATCTCTATTTCGGTTGAATATTGAGTTGAGAAATGTTTCTGTTTCCCTAGGAAAAGTGATGCTTCGTAAAATATTTGCAAATCATAAAACATGCGAAGAAAAATAATTTAATGAACGTTTATCGAATTCTGATGAAATATACTGGTTTTAAGTGGAATTTTACTTCGAATCCTATGAAATAAGAACTTCAATTAATAACAGATTTCGTTACAAACGTATCAGCAAGGATTCCTTGCAAGAAAATGATTCAGATACTTTTTACTTTCTTTTCATTACGCACCAGTTCTTGCATGAAGAGTTTTTGCTGGTATACCTGTTCCGACGTTTCTTTCTAAATTAAAATCTACACTTGACACGATTATTACTTTTCACTTTAATAATCTACTCGTCGATGTATCTGTAACCGCGTTTGGCAATCTGATTTCCTTGGAAGGGTAAATTGCAACTGTGCAGGCCCTTATTAAAATAATTACTCGCTCGATTCCCAAAGGAAGTAGATTATTAATTAAATATCGAAATAAATGAAGTAGGAAATATGATTCTTAATGAATTTTCTATCTATAGGTAACTTTAATTATTTTGCAAGGAATGTTGTTCGAATATTGTGATACGTTCAAAAATGTTGATACATTATAATACTTGATTAATATAAAAATATTAATTATTAATTTCATATTTTTATAGAGAAATTTCTTTACGTCGAGAAACTCTTGCGTACAGAATGATATTAAAATATAATCACCGATAAAATTTATGCAAAATCAATAAAGATGTGCGAGTACCCGAGAATATCGGGTCGGCTCGGGGTTTTGAAGGTATAAATGTACGAAAACTCGAAAATTTCGGATACCCGATATACAGATAGGGTTGGAAATTATTTCGGTCGATTCGGGTACCCGAAATTTGGACAACTGTGTTTCAAGACGAACTTTGTTGAACATGACCGTGAATTGAAAGTATTCGATCCGGGTATCGGGTACCCGAAATTTTCGAGTTGTCACTCACTTATACCTTCGAAAACCCATCCTGACCCAAATATCGGGTACTCGAAATTTTCAGATTCTTGTACATCGTATAAATTTTTAGGAGATCACTGTGGGAATCCTGCTGAATTTCTTGCAGTGTCTTTGTTTCTGACAATAAATAATGAGCTTTTAATTCCTTCCACAAAAAGCAGCCTACTATCGAGTAATATTTCATTCAAGAACTTGTCAAAGTTTAAAATATAACTTACGAGGGAACGAATGTAGAAGATCCTTTAAGACCTACATCTGAATTTTAATTATCATTGAAGATAAATGATATTCAAAATGAATTATTGCATAAATAATTTGTAATATGTAACATGGAATTTATAACAAGACAATGCAAAAAATTGTGACCACTGGAATTGATCCACATCCTTGAATTTAATCAAACAGAAATCAAATACCCTTTACGCAATACAGTTGACATAAATCTTTCAAAATAGCTAGAAATAATAAAAGAAAGAGAATAATAATAATTAATCAAAATATTAGTAATTCTGAATATCGAATGTTTTTAATATCAATACTGGATCACAGTTAATCTTCTTATGAAATTTCCAAAATTTAGTTATTGTTCCCTAATAGCCTATACAATTTCAATGGAGTTATGTGTTTTCAAACAAAACGGTTTGAAGCTGTGAAAACTTTCAGAATGATCTAAAACATAGGGGAACAGTTTATAACAGAGGCGACCATGAAGTGAAACTTTTCTATGGGGATTAACTCATTGTCAGAATCATGACTGAACTTATCCTCGTTTATAAATATTATTCCAGTATCCAGGACTACAAATGATTTTCTAATAAAATTATTTCAACCACGTCCCAAATGTAATAATTAAATAATTAATTACTACACTAATAATATAAGGTGCAAAATTACAAAATTCAGAGGTTTAAAATGTCAATTTTTACAGTGATGGCTAACGGCCAGGGGCGGTAGGTATATGGGGCCTGATTTCAGTAAACTTTCGTTATATTGCCACGAGGCGGTAGGGTCGGAAAATTTCTCAAGTTTCCAATCTTTCAATTGAAGGAAAGAAGGAAAATAAAATTATATGATTTTTGTAAACTATGATGGTAGAAGAATAGCACCAAGTGAAAGTCAAATCTCTAGCTCGGCAATATAACGAGAGCCCACCCTATTTCAAATCCCAGTCCATGTTTTACAAGGCCCTTTATGTCACCAAATGTAAGTCTCAACCCTCCCCTGTTGAACGCATGGAACAACATACATAGAAGGTCGAAGCATCAACGAAAGGTTGTTAAAAGAAAAAAGCCACGAGACCGTCTGCCGTGGTAGCCCATCAACGTCGCGCATTGTGGCGCGATAAAGAGGATGGTTAAAGTTAAATTAAAGTCTGCTCACCGGTCATCTTGGGTGACAGTAATGTCAGGCGGGGGCGCGGAAGGCGAGGCACCGTCTGGAGCATCCAGTTTGCCGGCTTTTTTCCTCCCTGTTCCCTTGTCTTTAAATTGGTCCAACGAAACGCTGGAGTATCAGGCGAGAACCACTTTAAACCGAATCCTCACACCGACATCGCCAAGTCCTCTCGATTCTACCTTCTTCTTCGAACCTCCGATAAAACAATATCCAAACACGATTCAAATATATTTCCACCTAAACGTCTATGATCTTGAAATCACAATGGAGTATACTTTCGATCACTCGCGTACCACTTTCACCATCAAAATCCTCTCTTTAATTAGCCAAACTCTCTAACTCCGAATCGTGTCTCTTTATCAAACGATTCTTCTTCCACTCGACTGTTGATCACGAAATTATTCGATTGATCACGGAACGAACCGTTCCCTCGGATAGTCGGCTCGGTTCTTAGGTGAAAGCGAACGGCAATTATCGTGGTAGCGTAGGCAAGGCAAGACTGTAGTCCGGACGTGTGCTCGATCGTGCGCTCTCGTAAACACTAAGAGGTGGCCTGCTCTTGCAGCGTGGATCGGAAAGCAATCATCGATGGGCGATGCAGAGGCTCGGAGTACGATTTCCTGCACGGGTCACTGGTCCCAGGATTTCGATATGCGTGGCCTGCGCTCGGCCTCGAAACGAGTTCCTTGCACCACAGGCTCTGCTACTTTTTGGCGACCAACGAGTACTCGTTAAGATCGACCGAGATGATAATCCTCCTTTTGCTTTGGAGAACGTTTCGCACAGAAGTATCCATGAAATTATGTATTTCCTTTTTCTTTTCTCTCTTCTTTTTTTTTATATGGAAAATTTGGAGAGTTTCTTATAAGTGATAATCAGGCTGACGTCAGTGGAGCGGTGGGAAGAAACTGCATCGGGCCAGGTCCAAGGGTACGCGCTCACCCTGTTGTTTTACTCGCGCCTCTCGGCAAGTGGTGCGAAAACGGATCTGCACCGCGAGAGGGAAAGAGAGGTGAGGGTGGCGCGCACGTGCAGTGTCGGAAAAGGCCACGCTCTTTTCTTTCTTATCCCGAAAATCGATCGTTCAAACACGCTGCATCGGATGACAGACACCGTGGTGAACGCGTTCACCAAAAGCTCGTTAACAAACCGTCCACCCCAATTCGATTATTGACCGTGAAATGTTTCCCTCTGTTGTTCGAGGATGTATTCGTAGGTGAGTTGGTACGATACACGGGTTACATGTTTAATGAGCGGCACGTTGGACGCGGATGGGAATTTCGTGAGATTGGAATGCGATTCGCGGGTGCAGTCGGTATTAATCGCAACACTCGCCAGCCACCACGATATACTCGAGAAGACTGGAGTCTCTCGGTAGGTGAGGCCCCCCCCCTACTATTCGCTCTTGTACGATTTCAGGGTTGTACCCAGCCGTTCGTCACCCTCGATCCCGTGGATTTTCAGAAATTTTAGTTGAAATTTAGGTGAATGATAGATATTTGGAATAACAGAAATTTTAATTAAAAAATAATAATAATAAAATAGTAAAATAACATACTATTTATTATTTCATTGCAAAAGTCAGGTCTGCACGTGTCAAATAGTACAGTTCGAGAGTAAACATTAATTTTGAATTTAATTAATTCGCATATGAAATCAGGCGTAAGATGGATCGATCGGAAAAATTGTTTATCAAACTGCGGTTATTGAAAGATAGCACGATTTCAATGAAAATTAATTCCATATTAAATAGAGTGAAATTAACGAGGAGAAAGATCTAGCGGTTCATAAATTAGATGCAAATTATTTTTGATATTTAATCTCTTTGATCACTTCCTATTTAGAAAAGAATGTATTCTTTATTTTATCTCTTTTACATCAATCTTTGAAAGGAATCTTCACAGTCATTAAAAGAGATAATTTTACTTATAAAAATAATAATAATTATTTCTATTTTTTTTCAGCAAAATTCCTCAGAACTCGGAAATTAAAATTTTTATATGTTTAAAAAATTTATTTTAGCCTGTTCAATTATTTCTAATTAAATTTTTATAATTTTCTATATTTATATATCTATAAATTTAAAAAAAAATAACAATAAAGCTATAAGTTTCATTTTCATAATACGGCCCTGTAATCGAAACCTTTCTCTCACTCCCTCTACTATACTCTACGTTACACTCTATTTCGTTCCTCGTCGCTCCAGAGAAACTATCTCCCTTTACTACCACCTCTATACATCCCTCTCATTCTTGCATTTCCTTTCAATGATTCTATCCTCTTTCGTTGCACCGTTCACCGCGGCTTGGTTCGTAAATTCACGGCACGATTACGGGGCACGGGGGACGGTTGAGTGAAACGAGAGAGGTAGATAATCGTATAAGTTGGAAAGAGATATATTTACCGTATGAAAGAAACGGAGCGAGCGAGTAAGCGTACGAGAAAGAATGCGGAGTGAGTAAGCGTAAGACGTGCTGCACTTGCACGAAAGAGATGAATAGATCGATGGAAAGTGAGAAAATGAGCTAGACAGAGTAAGATGAAGAGCGTAAAAATGAGGAAAAATGAACGGCTGATAGACAGAGAAATGGTAGAAAGGAGTGAAAGAATCAAAAGGAAAGCAGTATAAAGTTGAGTTCACATGTTTGTGCAATTTGCACAAAGTAGTTTGTAGTACACATGGGTGCAATATAGACATTTTTAAACTAACAATAAGAGAGGAGCCACCCACCACTTGCTTTTAGTTTGGAAGCTTGAAAAACTTTTACCCTCACCGCGGCAATATAACGAGAGACTACTGTAACATTAATATTAGCTGTGATTTTGAAGAGGGCATTTGACTTCCAGTGTAATAATAAATGTAGAAATTTTAAATTTACTATAATTAATGCAAAGGCCATACTTGGTGTTCTTTAACGCTTTTTCCTATTTCTATGTGAACTGAGAAACCGCAGTACATATAAGCACACGTGGGTCCCATAATGTTTTGCAGAAGTACGTCAACAAGAAGTAGTCAATGCTTATAAGAATTCTACATATAAATGAAAATATAGGTGATCTTAGGAGAAAAAAATATACGAAGTGATTTGTAACGGAAGTGGAGTGGAATCCCAATGAAATTACAACACACAATAACTGTACTTCGTGGGCGAATGTTGTGCAAATTTATTACACATCGAGAGTAACGTGTTGCATTTGAAATGTAAATCGCGTATGAAAGATTGAACTCGGAAAACAATGATGTAAATGTGATCAGGTGGCCTTTTGTTTCGAGAACGGTGATGTTTTTTATTGATCACGTGCGATAAAGTGATAAAATATTTTGTTATATTTATTATGATTTAGAAAACATTAGAGTGCTAATAAGTTAAGAAAGATGAAAATTATCCTACCTTGAACGGGGCAGGAACATGGAACCATCGATGAACACAGAACCGGAAAGCAGTATGTACCAGCTCGTGGCCAATTCACCGGTGCTGCAATATTTTGCATAAAAAATAATAAAATTTATCTATATCTATAGATTAATAAATTACATTATTTTAAAACAGCACAAATATTTCAGTTTTTTCATATACATACAACATGTAAGTTTAAGAACTAAATATGTGAATCTTATCTTTATATATTTTTTAAATTTTACGTCAGCACCTAATTTAAAAACGGTCCTGTTGGCGACATCTAGTAGCGAACGCAAAAACTAATTCAATAAAAAATTTGGTTTTCTTACAAAATAAGCACCTCTATAGAACTTTATAGATAACTGAATTATAGTTTACTAGAAGTGCAAGAATCGGTAATACAGAAAATGGCATTTTATGGACATTGAAATTTGTAGCCATCTAGCGGCAGTACCTTTTAATGGTACTAAATTTGAAACGGTAGTTGACTTTTCCGATAAAAGTGATCTGTATCGAATATCCGCCCCTCATAATGTCATTAGAAAATCCTGATTTCCTTATTTGAAGCATTTTATCGATTTGAAACCTACCACAAGCTCAAAAAAGGGGAAAAAGGCAGAGTAAACTTAGTTCCATTAGTACTGCCATCCTACCGCTAGATGGGTATAGCGTTTCTGTTCCCACAATGCGCTATTTTTTAATAATTGATTCTAACACTTTTATCAAACTGTAATGCTATTAGTACACCTAGATAATGATCATAGAATGTTATATTATCGTTATTAAAGCATAAAAGTGAATTATTTTATGAAAAAATACAATTTTCAATTTAAATCATTTTGGCGGGAACTATCAGATGGCGCCAAGGGTGCTGTTTTTAAAACGCGCGTGATTTGAATTTAAGGAACGTAATATGTTATTTTGTAATAACACAATATATTTTTTTGCTGCAACTCAAGCTAAGATGTTGTAACCTTTAAGTACTGGTCAAGATTTTTATTCAAAATAAAAAATAATTTATGTAAAAGGGCAGTAATATACACGCAACTAAAATGAATTCTTGAAATTGAATCTAGCTAAAATAAATATTTCCTAAAATATTATAACTCAACACAATAAGAAATCAAAAATATTAGAATACTTTCACGGACATTAAACATGCCTGTAAGACTGGAATAAAATGTGTTGAGAATTCTCAGAAATATCTTTTCACGAAATGAACAGAATTTTGTACTTATAAGCTTTAAAAATCGATTATGCAAATAAAAAAGCACTCACTAGTAAAGTACATGGTTCGCATGATGCCTTTCATATCGTACGATCTTGCAAAGCCCACGGAGAATGGAATCTCTGCACGGACGTAGTGCTTCTAGACCTAGTAGACCATAATATATGATCTGTAGATCCTGCAACAAAAAACCATAACTGTAAATAAATAACTGTAACATGAGACATAGAAGTGTTATGATTTTATCAATTACTATTATTAATTTTTAATAAATGTAATCAATTTATATCCCTGTTTTTATAAGTTTTCACATTGACCATGAAAAATTATTTTTGCAAAATTGATTACACTTAAGAATGATAAAGTAGCCAAAATATTTGTACAATAAAAGAATAGCAAAACCCTGTTTAATTTTGTAAGTGGTAATTTGCTACTATGATCCTTGTCATACGAAACTTTGAAGTGTCTGGAGGCAAATGAGCGCGAAAGGTGCTTCCAAGGTAGATTACCGTGTTTGCAAAGTTCTCGCACAAGTGTTCTTGTCAGAAGTGTACTATTTGAATCTGGTGCAGAGTATCGACATATCGGTGTCGGTGAAGCAATCTATCCTACAAACACGAACGAGGCGCGCGCCAACGCAATTGTCTCTAATGCGACCCTAATGTGCCCTGTTATCCTCTACAGTGATCTCTGCATCATCGTTATCCAAATTGGTTAAAACAATCACCCTTTTATCTTATTAATTTTTCGGGTGCGATACCTTATAAGTGAATTATTATTTATCAATTTTATTTTAATTTTTGCATAGACTTAATTTGTACAACTAACATTTTTTATTTTTTTCAAAACATAAATTACAAATCCTGTAATATTTATAATTTTATTTTCCTAAATGTTATTACCAAATTTTAAATAACATGAAATAACATTTATTTTAACAATAAATTTTATAATAATTACAATACAATCAGAATTAATTTATCATCGAACTTTAAATACTTCTGAAATGAAAATAAAAAATCAATTTAAAATTTGCTGCTTCGTTTCCCTCAAGATTTAATTGAAAATTCTAAATTACATTCTGTACAAGGATCAATTGAATACTAGACTCGCTTCAAAAAGTTAACAGAACTTCAGGTGCTTTCGCGATAAAGTAATAGTAGAACATTGTGTTAGCAAATTGCAACACGAACCCACCCAGGCTAGGAATCGTGTTGTACGAATAATCAGAAAAAGAACACTCGTGACAACGCTACGTTTAATCCTTGTTTGGTACATGAACCAGTAACAAGACAACGAGAATCGGTGATGCAAGGGATCGAGAGGAGTAAGAATTCAATTTCCACGCTTGATTTGCCACATGAACAAGCTGCTCGGTTGAGTTCCATAGAAAGAGCAAATTTTCATCAGCGTAATTCCAAGTTCAGTTAGATGAATTAGTAGCGTCGTCCTAACGATAATTAAATCCTACGTACGCCCGACGTACGTTATAATGTGCGATGACTATAACTTGGAGAGAATTAATGCAACTTTCTTATGATGTGAATGCAATGAAAAGGGGGTGACAAGCAAGTGAACCGAGACAGGTGGTTAAATTAGGTCAGGGAAAATTGTCAAATAGTATTAAAATTCATCCATTAGGAATGAGATTTTTAACCCTGGTTTGGAATTTAATTAATTAAAGTAGATTATTTTCTTCTAATTTTATGATCGTTGTTAATTTATTT